AAGTGGTGGCAAAGAGAGAAAAGGTTCCTTTGATATAACAGGGACACGAAAAAGAGAAAAGTAGGGGTAACAGAGGAGCGGGGCCACCAGAGGACCTCAGAGCACCCAGCACGGCGGGACAGGGGACAGGGAGGGGCAGCTGACCGGCTGAGCCTCCTGCAGGACATCTCGTGACTCAGCACTCCCGGCCGGAGGGGCAGCAGCAGCTAGAGAGGGGCCAGGCCGTCAAGGGGGGGTGTCCTGGCACTGACCAGGCCTGCGACCACAGAGCCGTGGGACCAGGTGCATTTCGCTCAGGGAGGCACAGGGGCTGTAAGCCAGGGCGGGAGCGGCCTAGACTGAGAGCTGGTGCTCGGTCAACATCTAGGGGTATCACAGGTTCTCTAGAAATAAAACGTGTTGTTGACAGTTATTTTAGGAATGACGGGGGGGGGGGGGGGGCCAAGGAATGAAAAATTAGAGCAGAAGCACTGCAAGCGCAGGCACAGAGCTGCTCCCAGGCCGCTCCCACCACGACCTCCCTCTCTGGGCCGCAGGCCGCGCTCCGCCCGCCTTCCCCTCGCCTGTGGCTTCCTCCTACTCCACCAAGTCTTCAACTGTTAAGACTGGAAGAGTAAAGCCAAGCACAGGGCGTGTGACTCATGCGTGAGGAGGGTACTCGCATACGGGCACGCAGCGACGATCTGAGTCCCGAACGCCAACATTCTCAGGAGAACGAGCCACAGTGACTGTATTTGTACTCAGGTTCCTCCACTTCTCAGCAGCGTAACACCGGACGCGGTACTTACTCTCTCGGTTCCTCGATTTCCTCCTCTGCAGTAAGACAGTGACAGCACCTCGCTCACGGGCTGCTGCCGAGTGCTCGGTGAGCAGTACACGTAACGCGCTCCCGGCTGGCACAGCAACACCAGGTAATCTGTGTTCTTATCTCCAAGCACAGCACAATTACCACTACAGCCCTTGCAATTCATTATTTTATTACCTGTCTTTGAGGAACTTCAAGTGTCTTCCAGATTCTGGAAAACACACACACGCACACGCACACAATCCTATAGATTCATTCCACGCCCCTCCTGGAGGCTGGGTGACTCTGGCAGGTGTTACTTCAGATGTGCGCTACTGAATTCCGTAAGAAGCAGGGGAAGAGTGAAGTTCATGGGCACAGGGAAGGCTTTACCTAACAAGGCAAATCTGTAATCCGCCAGGTCACAGCAACAACATGATCAATCAGGAATTCCTGCACCGCTGGAACGCCCCATCCCCATGCGCCTTGTGCTTCCCAAGGCGCCACTTTGGGGCGGTGCCATTCTGTGACACATGGGTGACCTCCCTAAGGGACGGGGCCGGCCCTGCCTGGTGGGCATCAGGAGGGTTTCTGCGAACAGCCTAGCGGCCAGTGCAGATACCAACACCGCTGGCCGTTCCATCCGTGCAGGCTCATCTCAGGGGCGCGAGACAGACCTGGTATTTCTGTGCAGAGAGAAAATGAGGCAGCGACTTGGCCAAGGTCACTGAGAGCGGTGACAGCCAGGAAGAGCACCCAAGGGTTTTGACTTCCAATCACAGGACCCAAGCACAAACGGCTCATCTGATGAGAGCATCCCCTCAGACAGGCACCCTCGAGGATTTGAGGCCCAGGGGCGGGACGTGGGGAACTCAGGGACAAGGGATAAGAGCACGAAGCGGCTGTGGGAGTCGCCAAGCCTGTGATCCTATCTGAATTCGATGTACTTGGTCCTGCATCTTTGTTAACCTTACATAACTCTTCCTATGACATCACCTAGAACAATTACTTTTAATGGGTCCAGCACCTGGACAGGAGGCACGCAAACTTCGCGCTGCGGTGATGCACCACCTAAATAGATTTCCCCGTGGAACGCTGGCCTGAGCAAGAGCCAAAAATAAACTGGCAAGCCAATTCCTGAGGGACCTGTCATCAAGGGTGCACCACACACACAGCCCCACAAAACAGGGAGATCACCGAGAGCTTGAATTTAGAAACCCAAAATATCAAAACCAGGGGGAGACCCTGAATACTGTGGCAATTCAAAGCAAAAGACAATGTGCGAGGTGGGAAAGCTGAAAGATAAGCCAGAAGCCCCAAACTTGGACGGACAGCACTCTGCTCTCTTGCTCACAGGGCTATTCTGTGCAACCCTGGCAGGTGGAGACAGAAAGACTCATATGTCCAGCCCATGCTGGAAAAGGTGACAAGGCTGTCAGCATTTGGCTTTAGCACAAAATTTTACTCGGGGCCTCCCTAGTGGTGCAAGGGGTGAGGAGTCAGCACTATGAAGCAATCGGCAGCCACTGCAGCATGAGTTCGATCCCCGGCCAGGGAGCTGACCCACATGGCGCTGCAGACCTCTCCTGTCTCCCCACTGCTCCCCTCAGCAGTGGATTTCAGTAGATCCGCCTGTTCTGCTCCCCACTCTGTCTCTGCTGAATCCTCTCATCCCCCCACACCCCAGCTCTTGTATGCATAAATAGATCTTTTGAAAAAGAAACCCCAAAAACCCCAAATTTTACTCAAGGGGTGACCACAGCCGGGGAAGGGGCAAATGTCCGCAGAGGAGGCCCACTGCCGACTGGGAAAAGTTTCCAGTGGGCAAACCAGCGACCGCGTGGAAGGGGTCAGGAGACTGAGTAAGAGGAGGAGCTGCCTTTCAGTCTGAAAAAAGAGTCTCACTGTGGCTACCGGACCACAAATTCCAGTTTCAGGAAGAATTTTTGTTTCTGTTGATAACGTTCATGGAAGTAGCCAGGAAAAGGACTGGCCTTGACTAGCCTTTTCTTCTCTTTTTTCAAATTTGTTCATTAAAAAAATCAAAAAAGTCAGGAGACTAATATCGAGTCTTTATTCATTGCCCCCTTCAAATGAACATGGAAACTACAAAAATACTCCAAAGCCAACTAAACACTCCACATTAAATGGAGGCCATTAAAAAAAATCCAATAGGTGGCAGCTTTAAAAAGAAGTTCCCCAAGAACACCCCTAGATCAGTCTCTCAGTAACTGGGTTCTTAAACCTCATCACCGCACAAGAGATGGAACAGGGAGCAGAACCTCAGTGCTCATCGGGCTAATGGTCCTTCCTTTACAGCGCAGTCACCCCGATGGGATTTACAAGGAGCGAGAGGAGAGAAGGCGCATCGTCCAAAGCCGAGGGGCTGCAAGGCTCCAGGACCCTACCAGCCCAAGCAGAGACCGCGGCAACGCAGGAGACCCTTCAGGTGGACCTGGGACACCTGTGCGTGTGGCTCACTGTAACACACGGGCTGGAGTTTTAACAGCCACCTGACAGGTATAAGCTTCCCCCGCCCAAAACAAAACAAAACAAAGCAACAGCCTCGCCTCCATTCCTGAAAGAAGAGCTGGGTCCTGCCATTCCAAGCGGACACTAGATGCCACCACTCTCCAGAGCGCCTACGCCCGTGGCCTCTGCTCAGGCCAGAGGTTCCAGCAACCACAGTGGCAAAGGAAACACCACCGCTGGAAGCACAGCGGTTCAAGAGCCACGGCAAGACGTGAAGGGCCCTTTCGAAACACAGCCAACCTCAGAGTTACTTTCCACTTGATTCCAGAGCAGGTATTTGAAGTCAAATTTCATAAAATCCCATATGGTGGCGGGAGCAGACGGAACATCGCTGTGGACCAAGTTAACCCCCAAAGTAAGATGAGCGGGAACAACCACTGAAAAACCAGGCAGCTCCGCGGCGGCTGGCCCTGGTCCGCGAGTCCCGGCGCAGGAGGCCATGAGAGTCAGCGTGTGGCATTCCAAAGGGCACCAGCCTCTAGAGGAGATGGCTAGGGAAAAACATTTTCCAAAAAACCTATGGAAAGACATCAGCAGCCATTAGCTGGTGAGACAACGCGCAGACACGGTCCATAGAGCAAAATTCCTCCTTCTGACATAACACCCTGGTAATTTTTAACAAGCGCGCCTCTGCAAAAAGTGATCGTTTCCACATTCGTTTGCACAAGAACTTATTACCTTCTTCCCGAGTCAGAAGCTATTGCCTGGTTCGCATTCTGCTGCCTGAAAGCCAGGGTCGGGGTGCGGGTTTCTGAGTGTGCGGACGGCGCACACGGGTGTCCGCAGCCTCTGGTAACCGGGAGTGGGTCACAGGTTCTTCCCCCCGCCTGAGCCATCCCCACAGGCCCCTCTGCAGCGCGGCACGAGGGCCTAGTCCTGTCGCCTTTGTCTCCCACGCTGTGCGAAGCCCAGATTAACTTTGCCAGGGCCCTCCCCTGAAATCAGACCTGCCGACGGGCAGCCGACGGGCCGCCGCCAGGCCCAGGCCTCTTCCTGCTGAGGAGGCTCGCTCGGGGGAGGCGGAGGGCAGGGGAGAGACACGCGGGGTGTGTCTGTGTGGGGGGCACTGATAGGAATTCACACTCGGGAAAACAAGACCTGAGAAGCCACCAAAGCACCCGGGGCAAGGTTTGAGGCTGACGACGCCGATAAGCCTCCCTCACCCCAAAACCACACGGGAGCCCGAGGTCCCTCTAACAGCCCGGGGGCGAGAGCAGCCCTTGGGGCTCGGCGGGGCTCCCCTCCCTCCGCGGCCCGCAGCACCCTAGTTCTCAGGCGTCCCGCTGCCCTCGGGGCCTCCACGCCGGCCTCAGCTGTCACGTCGCCCCCAAACGCTCCCCTGGCATCTGGAGACCCCGGCCGCGAACGGTCTGGCTCACGAAGCTCCCCGCCGCCGCCGCGCAGGGGGCGCCGAGGCCGCGCGCGCCGGGCCGGGCCCCCACCCCGCCGCCCGCGGTCACGGGCGAACTTCTCGCAGCCCCGCCTGGGCCGAGCCGGGCCCCGCCGCGGCGCGGCCCCCCGCGCGCACCCCGCCGCGCCGGCCGCGGGCCGGGGGGCTTCGGGGGCCGGGCCCGGCCGGGGGCGCGGGGCGGCGCGGCGCGGCGGGGGGGCGGCGCGATGACTCTGCAGCGGCGGCCCGCGAGGCCCGGCCGCGCGCCCCGCCCGCCCGCCCGCCCGCGCCCACCTTGGTCTCCTTCACGTGCTGCTTGGCGCCCTCGGGGTACCACTGCACGCGCACGTAGCCGCGGCGCAGCGGGCTGGCCCGGCCGTCCTCGTGGCCCGCGCCGCCCGCCTCGGAGCCGCCCGAGCTGCCGCGGCCGTCCTCGTCGCCCTCGGAGTCCGAGTCCTCGCCGTGGATGAGGCGCACGAGCCCGAAGTGCACGGCGCCGCGGTAGCGCCCCGAGACCAGGTCGTGCGAGAAGAGCAGCCGCTGCGAGCCCGGCTCGGCGCCCGCGTCCGGGGCCGGCCCCGAGGCCGCGTCCGGGGCGGCGGGCGGCGGGGCCGGGGCGGCGGGCGGCGCGGCGGGCGCCGGGGCCGGCGCCGGCGGCGGGGCCGGGGCGGCGGGCGGCGCGGCCGGGGCGGGGGCCGGGGCGGCGGCCGGGGCGGCGGGCGCGGGCGCTGCGGGATCCGCCATAACTGCTCTGCGCGAGGCTCGGGCGGCGGCGCGGCGGCGGCGGCGGCGGACGAGGCGCGGGAGGCGGGGCCAGCCGGCGCCGGGGGCGGGGCCGCGGCGCGCTGACGTGGCCTACGTGCCGCCGTCGTCAGGGAGCCTTGATGCGGTTGCTAGGAGCCGCCGCCCGTCGCTAGGGGACGCTGAAGCGGCGGCCGGGGGCGGGGCGGGAAGGACGCAGCCGCGGGGGCGGGGCCAGCGGGGGGAAAAGACGGGGCGCGCGGGGCGGGCCCGGGCGCGGGCGCGGGGCGCGGGGGCGCGGGGGCGCGGGGGCGCGGGGGCGCGGGGGCGGGGGCGCGGGGGCGCGGGGGCGCGGGGGCGCGGGGGCGGGTGGCCGCCGCGGGCGGGGCCGAGCCGGGCCGCAGCTTCGGCGGCTCGCGGCGTCCCAGGCCCGGGGAGCCAGGCGGAAAGGGAGGGACGCCCCTGGCCTCTGGGTGTTTACAGTCTGGCCCAAGACACAAACAGGGGCCCATAAATAGCCACAAACGCCACCCCAGGGAGCGGGTCAGCGCGGTGACCCCAGGGGCCGGGCAGGGCGTGGGTGCAGGAGGCCTGGGCAGATAAGGAAGCAAAGCAGAGCGGTCGTGGCCCCTGTGGTTTGGCTTTAAACCCATCCAGATGGGCCTCCCCCGGGGCGCAGCGGTTGAGCGCTGGGCCTCGAGGCTGCCCGCAGCCTCTGCAGCGCCGGTTCGATCCCCGGCTGCCGGCGAGGGCCCCACATGGTGAACAGAACCCTCCCTGCTGCGCCCGCTGCTCCCCTCAGCAGTGTACTTCGGTCCTTCTGCCTACTCTGCTCCCGCTCGGGCTCTGGTGAATTCTCTCACCCTCCCGCGCTTCTGACTGTACCCAGTGCTTGTGTAAATAAATAAATTTAAAAAAAAATACAATAAACCCATCCAGACGAGCTCAGAGCCGTGAGGCTGTGTCTGACAGAGCTAGAGGGCGGGGTAATTAGGAGTGGGAGCCACGGATTCCAGGCCTGGGCTCTGCCACTTACTAACCTCATAGAGGTAGGCGAGCTGATAAACTTTTTTTCACCTTAATTTTCTCATCTGTAGAGTAGGGATGATAACATCTCATCTGGGATGGGGAGAACTCAGCAAGGCAGAACAGCACCTGGAATAGAGTTCCCTCAATAAAGCTCAGCAGTTAGTATAGCGTCTCCCCACCACCCCCTGCCTAGACCAAGATTCAGAGGAGCAGAGCTGTCATCCTCCTGGTCTGCTCCATATTGCCATCTTTATAACATCTTTTTTTTTTTTTAAGATTTCTTTATTTATTTGTACAAGCACTGGGTATAGTCAGAAGCGCTGGAGGGTGAGAGAATTCACCAGAGCCAGAGCAGGGGGCAGAGCAGGCAGAAGGACCGAAGGACACTGCTGAGGGGAGCAGCGGGCGGCAGGAGAGGTCTGCGCGCCATGTGGGACCCTCCTCCGGTGGCCGGGGAGCAGCCGGGGATCGAACCGGTGCTGCAGAGGCTGCCGGGCAGCTTCACAACCCAGCACTCAACCGCTGCGCCACCGGGGAGGCCCCATATTGCCATTTTAAAATATAAAAAGTAATTATACGAATGTGTCCCCTAAGTAAGTTCCAAGTGATTTGGATGCATTCTCAGAGGACAGATTCGTAATAGGTTGTTAAAATGAAATTAAGGATACTCAGGATATGGCCCTAACCTTCCTTCACCAAAATCATTTTCCCACAATTTTCTGCAAGACCGTCGGTAGCAGTTAGGAAGATGGTTCCATATTACAGTATTTTGGTTCTTTTTAAAACAGGCAGGATCCCTGTACTTTGGACATTTTACATGCTGTTGAGGATACAGGACTACACTCATGGAGAAGTTAGAAAAAATGCGTGAACCAGAGGTGGCAGCCTAAGGACCTAAGTTGCCCTCAGCCGAGTGCTTTTAGAAGATCGACATAATATTGAGCTGGGGGTGGTTGTCCATCCCCCAAATCTTAGAAAACTCATAAGATTCAGAAAACCAAAACCAAAACCAACTGGGGCTACGTGAACTGAAGGAGAGTAAAGCTATGATTTAGGAGCAAAGCTGGCTCCAGAAATCGTGGCCTTCCCATCCCAGACCACCATGCAGAATGGCACCTGGGGTCGTTGCTGTGGGCCGCCGACTCACTCCCCCCAAGACCTCTGGGGCTTAGTCGCAATAACTGGTAACCTTTCTTCCACTTAGCATGCCTGTGTGCCTCGGCCCCTCATAACCTAATGCTCCTTGAGCCCCTGTTCTTGAGAAGGCTCTGTGTCAGCAACAAGCATTGTCTTGTTTGTTATCACAATCCTGGACGCAGATGGAGCGAACCCCATTTACCAGTGAGGAAACGGGGCCTGAGGAATTCCATGCCCGGGGTCACACGGTGGTCAGCCGGTCTTCCAGCTGGAATCCAGGTCTCCTGACTCTGCGTACAGGTACTTTTCTAGTTCCTGTGTCCCTGGAGGGAAGGGGGTGGAGTGGGGGTGAGCACGTAGGTTGAAGGGGCAGGGCGTCGCAAACCCCAAACCTCTGTTGTCAAAAATGGGGGGGAGTTTGGCATTCTCCTTCAGCTGATGCCTGTTTATCTTAATATAAAAAGAATGTCCCTTCCTCCCTAATCATCGAGTAAAATTGGCACTCCAGGAAGATGTGCCACGTTTATTCTGCAGCTTCTTGTAATGGTGGCTAATAATAGCTACCATTTATTGAGCTGTAACTTAATGCCAGGTAGTCGGCTAAGTGCTTTACATAGATTATCCACCTCAGCCCTCACACCCCCCTGTGAAGGAGGAAGCTTGAGCAACCCTGTTGTGGAGCTCCCTGCCGCCCAGCTATGCTGTCAACACACACACACACACACACACACACACACACACACACAGGAGCCTGCCAGGTTGAAGGTAAGAGTCTTTGATTCCAAACAGTGACCTCTCCTTGGCCAATCCCCCCTAGTGCAAGTGGATCGTGTCATACTGTGTGACTCCAGTGTCCACAGCGCCTGTGCTCTATCTCAGACCCTATTGAAGGGTGCCAAAGGTCTAAGATCCCTGTTCCTCCATTTGGTTAGTTTCCCATCTCCCTTCCCATACACTCATGGAAGGTGGGAGAGGGCCGCACTCTATGGCGCCCTCCTGCCTGTGCTATCTCTAAAACCTTTCTATCACCCCCAGTTTAGGCTGCATTTGACCCCTCCTAGAGAGAGAGGCTGAGTGCTTTTCTCCCACCTCATGGCATCCTTCAGACCCCACTCAGACCTGAGAAGCTCTGGACTAGGTTTGAGGCTTAACTCCTTCCTAGCACATCCCCCACCCCCCACCCCAGCCCCTAGCCAGAGCCTGCACACCCCGGCTGGTGAGTGGGGTGAGCCCAGATAAAAGCATCTGCTTCATTTTTATCTTCATAATTGTTGAGTGAAAAAAGCCTTCATTCTCTGGTGGCGAACGCGCCTCTGTCATGGCCCCAACATGATGGGGGGAGTAGAGATGCTTCTCTGAATTTTGTTTATTTACCGATGTCCTGCCAGAAGTGGAGCCAGCCTGAGCCTGGCTAAGGGGTGGGCGGGGTGCGGGAGGCAGGAGAGTTAGCAGCACAGTGCCCTGATCTCCAGGAAGCAGGCCCTGTCTCGTCCCTATCTTAGCCAGCCACTGGGCCTCCAGACCCGTGAAATGTACACAGACCCCACCCCCCACCCCCACCCCGGGGATCCTGCTCGGTCTCTCGAACTCCCTGACCCAGCAAATGCAGATGGGCACGGAGCCCAGCGCTTGGGTGAGCATGAACAAATCACCTTGGCCTTGAACTCCACGTGTGACCCAAGCCCAGTTCATGGCCCCTCTGACCCCTTTTCACACACCTGAGGCCCAAGGCTGCTCTACCCTCTACGGAGAGCAGCTCTACAGGGAGGTGGGCACGCAGGCAGGCGGGGAGGTGGGGTGGCCAAGGGTGAGCTTCCAAACTCAGACAGACCTGGTTTTGAAGATTGTACGGTCACTGACTCAGCGTGATCTTGGGCACGTTATTTTACTTTCCTGAGCCTCAGTTTCCTTTCTGCAAAATGAGGATACTAATAGCACCTCCTCTTAGGGCTGTTGAGATCTTAACTGACATGGCGAGTGTCTAGTGCTTTGCACGGTGCCCGTCCGTGCGCAGGGACTCCCGTGAGCTGCGAGGCCTTCATCGCCATCTCTCACCTGCGCCCAGCTGCCTCATCTGTCGGCCACTTGCCCCCAAGGAGACTGAAAATATCAACGTGATCCTCCAACTTCTTGACTCAGTAGCTCCTGTGGCTCTCCCTGGGCCACAGAGAATGGCCCACGTGCTCTTCTGAAATCATCCCCCCCTGCACCCCTCCCTCGCCTCTGCTCCCAGCACATGCGCCCTGCTCCAGCATCAGCCGCTTCCCGCAGGACCCCAACTTTTTGGTGCCTTCGTACCTTTGCACCTGCTTCACCACCTGCCTGTCATTTTTGGTTTTGTTTGTCTCCTGCTGTTGCATTTTGGTTTTTTGCTTTATTGATTTGTCCATTGCTTACGTGCTTATACAACTTTGGGGTAACTTTGGGCTTCTTCACCTCAGTGACCCTACACCAACTCCCCCCTTACCCTGCCCTAGCCCATTCCAGCCCCTCCCGCCCTCCTCCCTCTTCCCTCAGCAGCCAGGGTGTTTTTCGCAAAGTCGAAGACTGGTTTTCGCTGTGCTGGTCATTTCTGACTCCTCGGCTTCAACTCCTGTTTTCCCCTGACGCGCTTCTCTTCACCTTACAAGACCCCGCCTGGGCCTTCTCGTCTCTGAAACCTCCAAGCACCCCATGCCCCTGCTTGTTCCCCCCTTACCTGGTAACACGTGGCTGAGCACGGCCATCGGTTGCACACGGGTCTCCCAGGGATGTGGTCTTTGGGGCGCAGGGACGTGTCTCCTTCATTTTTGTCTCACGGCATCCAGCCCATGTGTGTCTCCCGGAAACCAATGTCTCCCAAAAAGGCCCTGACGACCAGTCAACAGGTCTATGGGGCACCCCATCTCCCCTAGATATGGAGAAGAACATACACACCCCACATGCATGCACACTCACATCACACACACACCCTTTATGCACACACATGCACACTAGCACGCATACATCCACACATACACATGCACACACATATCTGCATACACATGCACACAATGCTCGTTCGCCCCTCGTGCACACACATGTACCCACATCTATACACACACACGTGTGCGCACACACAGCCCTCAACCTCAAGATTTGTGCTGCCCGTTACAGTAACCCTCAGTCACCTGCTCTGAAGTAACATGTGCTGTCGCGTGAAACACACGCTGGACTTTAACCGTCTGTGCAAAAGAGAATATAAAATATCTCATTGACAACTTTTATATTGATTACTTGTTGAAATGACAACACTTTATATATTAGGTTAAATAAAATGCATTAGTTGTCTTATATATATATTTTTAAAGATTTATTTATTTATTTATACAAGCACTGGGTACAGTCAGAAGCACGGGAGGGTGAGAGAATTCACCAGAGCCAGAGCGGGGAGCAGAGCAGGCAGAAGGACCGAAGGACACTGCCGAGGGGAGCAGCGGGTGCAGCAGGAGAGGTCTGCGCGCCATGTGGGACCCTCACCTGGTGGCCGGGGGTGGAACCGGCACTGCAGAGGCTGCGGGCAGCTTCGCAACCCCGCCTCAACTACTGCGCCACCGGGAAGGCCCAGTTGTCTTATACATTACAATCAAGATCACCTGTCTCCTTCGGCTTTTTCCCCTGGGGCTACCAGAGTAAAGTCTCTATCATTCTGTGTTCATTCAGTGATCTTTCTACAGGAAGGTGGAGGGGGGAGTTGGGGACAGATGCCCCGAAAGCGTAAATGCCTCCTTTCTCCAGGAGGGGGCGATCCCACCCTGCCCTTTGACACCTCTGTTTCTGAAGACTCTGGAAGTTTCCTGAGGAAACCTGCCTGTGTAACATGGCAGACATTGAACCCAAATACGAACAGGGCCCCGCTGGGCCCTGGAGTGAGTCAGCCCATCTATGCAAAGCGGCTTCCAGACAGCCCGAGGTTGAGCGCCACCTTCCTCCACACCGGCCCTCACAACGCCACCTGTGACCGTGTTCTCCAGGGGCCGCGCCTGTTGGGGAGATGGGCTGTGGTGGGTGCCTGCTGTGGAGCCACACCTGCCTTCTCAGGGAGCTGCAGGTAGAGGGCGCTCTTCTATGTCCTAGCCCCTCACCCCCATATTGGGTCCAGACTCAAGCCCTCTGGACAGCCCTGGGCACGCAGAACGGCCCTGGAGACAAACGCCGTGGCCAGGAAGGGCCGGGGTGTGGGGCCCGTCCCGTCCCACGGGGAGTGCAGGCAGAGGGCGCTCTAAGGTGGGCCATCGCCTCTCCCCGGGAAGCCCTGCTGGAGCCCACATTATGCCCCCTCTTCCTGGCAGGGCCCCAGTGACCCTCAGGAGTTTGCAGTCATTCAGCTAGGGGTGCTGGCTGTTTTCCACAGCAGGACCCTGCCAGGGAGGGGAGGCTCCAGGGCCACAGAGGTCTGAAGTCCCCCTAACCTGCATTGCAGGGGGCACTCCCTGCCCCCCCCCCCAGAGAAACAGGATGCCAAACTGGAGCCAATGGTAGCCTCGGGGCCATGACACATTACACTCCCCTGGGGGCTTCTACACACCTGCGACCCCCTCCCCAAAATGAATAGGCCAGAGCTCAGGGAGGTGGCGCAGGAGTCAGGCACCCCCAACCTCTGCCCTGGGCGGGCGGCGACTCCTGGCTCCTCACTGCCCTTTCCTGACCCGTGCTGCCCATTCCTTTTCTCGGGCCTCACGGAGGGGGATGCCAGAGGAAATACGGACCCCGGGTCAAGTTGGAATTTTGGAGAAACAATGTTTTAGAGTAAACATTTCAGGGACATCTGGATACTGTAAAAATACTTACCGCTTACCTGAAATTCAAATTTCGCTGGCTGTTCCGCATTTTTATTTGCTAAACCTGCAACCTTGCTCACAGCTGCCCTCCTGAGGCCTCTCCGACTGCAGCCCAGAGGGATTCCACGGCAGTCCCCTGGGGGCCGACCCCGGGGTCCCAGGAGGCGGGTGGGTGTTTGATAGGCGCTGCAGGCCCCTTGGCAGGGTCTGGGCTGCCTGCAGTCCCTCTTGCTGGGGGTGGGGGTGTCTCAGCGTCCACTGCACAGGGTGTCCTTGTCTTTCCACCTGGGCCCCGTGCCCCCACATTCCCTCATTCTCCCTGTCTCTGTTGCTTGGTTGTCACTTTCTTCCAGTTGGCCGGGCATCACCCTGCTGCCTCGTGGGGTGTCGGGTCCCCCAGTTTATCCACGTTTAGTGCACTGCCTCATCTTGTCTGCTGAGGTTCTGGAGGCGGGGGGAGTACTGTCTGGAAAGCACAGGTCCAGGGCGTCCATGGAGAGGGGCTGGGAGAGGCTGGGTGGGGGCTGCCCTGCTCCAGCGGCAAGTGGCCACCAGGGGGCGCGGCGGGGGTGCAGGGCTGGGAGGTGGAGGGGGCCTTCTCTGGGTCCTGCAGGCTAAAGGCCTGGGCTTGTCCCGCCCACCCCAGGCCGGAGGGTCAAGCACAAGAGGTCTGCAATGGGTCCCCATAATGGGAAGGCGGGAAGCCGCCTAGAAGCAGTTGGGGGGCATGGTGAGCTCTGGGGGTCTACTGGGGCTTCAGACAGCAGAGGGGCGGTGAGGAAGGGGACCTGGAGAGAAAGTGTGTGGAGCACGGGGCACCCCAGGGGCTCTGGACCATGGGTGAGAGCGGGCACCTGCGGGCACCTGCAGGACCAGAAGCTCAGGAACCCTGCGGGGCCCAAGGGGGGCAGGGGCAGGCTCTGCTGGGCAGTGTGGGAGCCTGGCGGTCAGGGCTGGCCGTGCTGGGGCAAGCATGGGGTGGGCGCTGTGCAGGGAGCGTGTGAGCCCGAGGGGAAGAGAGCCGGCGGGCTCCTGGAGGCGGTGGGAGGGGGGGGGAGGGCCGAGTAAGAGGCCTGGGCTGGGGCTCAGGTGCCAGAGGAAAAGTTCACAGCCACAGATAAGCTCCCCCCACCCGCCGCCCTGGAGCCGAGGCGGCTGTAGTCAGAGAACGCTGGCAGCGGGCTGGACAGGCGAGTGGCAGCCTCCGGCAGGCCCCACTCACGCGCGCAGGAAGGGCAGCCTGGTGACCGCCCGCCTGCCCCCATCGGCATCCAGCTTCAGGACTGAACGTTAGACGACCGGCACCCCAAGGTCCCATTGTCCCAGGTCCCGCGTCCTGGCTCCAACGCGGGCATGAGAGGGCGCCCACGGGGCCCCTGGGGCCGCTCGATCTCCGGCTCCTGGTGTGATGCCGCCGCCATTGCGCCTGACGAGGCTGGTTGCCTCTCCGCTGGGCGAGCTAGAATTTCGTGGGCATCCACTGCCTCGCGTGCAGTGGACAGGTGTGGTTTGTTTCCGGGGGGGCGTTCTTGCTCTTCCGGCTCTCACTGGGTGTGTGGAGAGGCGGCCTCGGGAGGTGACGTCCAGCTGGAGCAGGTGCTGCCTCGGGCCTCCAAAGTGGCGGATGCTTCACCACCGCGGATTCTTCACCTATCCCGGGGCGGGGGGGGGGGGTGCTGGAGAGCGGCCTGGGCAGAGGCGCTGGCAGGAAGGCCGAGTCTCTGAGGATCTTTTGCTCATGTGGGGTGACGGATGCGACAAGCGGAGGGGCGACGGTGGGCACCACGGTAGAATCGGGGGCACAAGGACATGACTCCCACCCCGGATTTGGGCTTTTCCCCGGAGCACCCTGAGAGGCACACTTGGCTACGCCAGACTTCGTTTGCGCACGCGACAGAGGTGGTCGCGAGGGCGGGACGGGAGGGTCTGGGCATCGAGCCCGTCCCGTGGCGCACCACAGTCTTCACGCAGCCCGAACGCTGCCGCAGCCCTGCCTGCCTCTCCAGGCTCACCGGCTCCCCCTGCACGTCCTCGGGCCAGATGGGGCACAGTCCCCTAAGGCCGATGGGTCCCTCGGCGGCTCTCTCGCTTGGGGGGACTCTGACCTGGGGACACTGAGCACCAGCAGGACAACTGAGGAGGCGTGGACGGGTCACCTGGATCATCCTCTGGGCCCTCGGCTCCACTGCGACAGACCTGGGGTTGCTCCTGCCTGTGCTGACAGGATAGCCCCCCAGCAGGCTATGACCCCTCCGAACCTTGGGTCCTTACGGGGTCAGCAGCGCCACGGGGCTGTCTGTGGGTTAAGGGACACGCTCAGGGATGGCGCAGAAGAAGGGCTCTCAGGGGCAGCTTTCCAGCCGCCGGAGCGGGAGGGGCCCTCCCAGGTGGGCTTGCCCGGGCCTCTAGGACACAGAGGGGGCGCCCTGCCTGCCAGCTGGCCACGGAGCAGGATTAGAGCTGGACCGTGAGGCTTAGCCCTGCTCTTCCCCAAGCCCCGCGGCCCAGGTGGCCCCCGTAATCCCCTCCCCGGGCGCCCCGCGCTGACGTCTCGCCCTCAGCCGCAGAAGCGGGGCTTTGTCCTGCAGGGCCGCGTGGAGGCGGGGGTTAGACCGAGCATCACCGGCCCTTGCAGCGGCCACGCACACAACGGTCACCGCTGTCCGTTCCGGCGCCGCGGCCAGTCCCCAGGGTGACTGGCTCTGTGGTGGAAAAGTCAGGGTCCCTACTGCAGGTGAGACACTGCCCGGGCCCTCAGCCTTCGGGAACAGGAACACCTGCCTGGGGCTCAAGAAGTGGGGTGGACGGGTGGTGGAGCGAGGGCAGAGAAGACGTGGCAGGGGGCTAAGGTGGGGGTGTCTTGGGAAACAGATACAAGGGGGCACAGCTCTGAGCCAGGGTGGGCAGGTGTCTCGGATTCCTCCCCACTCCAGACTCCCAGCCCCGCCCGGTGTGCATGACCCAATCTGAGGTCATCTGGGTCAATGCGGGGGCTCCTCGAGGGCCTGCTGTGAATAAGGGTGTTTCCCTCCAGGGCCCAGGGTGCCTGAGGAGCTCCTGGCCACACCATCTCATCCCCCAAAGTCTCCCTCTTTTGGGGTTAGACGCCCCCATCCCAGCACAGTTGCATTTGAAAGGGCCAGGGGAGGTGTATGCCCCTCCTGCCGTGGACTGCAATGTTGGGGTGCCCTAGGCTCTGGGCCCAGACCAGCCCTCCCACCATCTCTGGGGTTTAGAGGGCAGTGAGGCCAGAAATCTGGAGGTTGGGAGGGGCTGCTGTGCAGGGACTTCTGGTTGAGGGGGGAGCGTGGGCAGAAGCATCGAGTTTACAGCCTCCAAAGTGCCCCAGAGCCCCGGCTCCGAAAGAGGCAAGAGGGAGCTTCCTGACTGCCCCTCCCGGAGACCAGGTCTGGACCCCCGACCCAGGTGGGGGGGCATCTCTTCCTTGTCTGCAGGAGCCACTTCCGAAGCTGGGAAAGCCCAAGGAGGAGCCGGCAGCCAGCATGTCCAGGTCGGGCACGCACTGCCAGCCCCCCGTGGGCCCGCAGCCGCCGCTGGGCACGGCCGAGGCCCCGAGCCGCCAGCGCCGCCACACGCTCCCCGCCAGCGAGTTTCGCTGCCTCACCCCAGAGGACGCCACCAGCGTGTTCGAGATCGAGCGGGAAGGTGAGCGGCCCCTACACCGGGCCCGGGGTGCTGGAGGAGCCCCTGTGCACGGGGGCGCGGGTTTAAGAACATGGGCGGGGCCAGCGTCCCGGGCCCCCCTGGGAAGCCCCCCGGGGAGGGTTGTGGGGGTGATGTGAGCAGACCTGGGTGTGCGGTGGACAGTGGGGGTTTGAGTGGCGACCCCCAAGATCCCCACCCGAGCGCCCCTCCCGTTGCAGCCTTCCTGTCCGTCTCGGGCGCCTGCCCCCTGTATCTGGATGAGATCCGGCACTTCCTGACCCTGTGTCCCGAGCTGTCCCTGGGCTGGTTCGAGGAGGGCCGCCTCGTAGCCTTCGTCATCGGCTCGCTGTGGGATGAGGAGAGGCTCACTCAGGTGAGGGCCATGGAAGGCAGGCCGCTGCCCACCGCTGCCCTGGTACCTGCTGCCCGCAGAGGCCAGCCGGCCAGCCAGGGGGAGGTGGGCGGGGGCGGGGTGTCCTCCAGAGCTGAGCCGTCCCTCCCGGGATGTAGCACCCAGCCCCTTTGGGGTCCCAGAGGCCCTCGTGAAGGGTCTGCCTGGAGCCTCCTTGGGTGGGAGGGGGACCCTGATGAGAAACTCAAGACCCTGCCCTTGGCCCAAGGGGGAGGCTGGGGCAGCTGGCGCAGAGGCGACGGGGCCTTGTCCCTCTCTCCCTAGGAGTCGCTGACGCTGCACCGGCCCGGGGGCCGCACGGCCCACCTGCACGTGCTGGCGGTGCACCGCGCCTCCCGGCAGCAGGGCAAGGGCCCCGTCCTGCTGTGGCGCTACCTGCACCGCCTGGGTGGCCAGCGCGCCGTGCGCCGGGCCGCGCTCATGTGCGAGGCGGCGCTGGTGCCCTTCTACCAGCGGTGTGGCTTCCGGCCCGTCGGCCCCTGCGCGGCCAGCGCGGGCTCCCTGGCCTTCACCGAGCTCCACTGCTGCCTGCGGGGCCACGCGTCCCTGCGCAGGAACAGCGGCTGCTGAGCCTGGAGCCAGAGGCTGGGCTCCCCCCAGCCCCCACTGAGCATGAAGGGAGTGATCCCCCAGGTGGGGGTGGGGGGCACCGAATGAAAAGAGGGGCAGTTTCTGCCATCCAGGCTGCCCCGCTAGAGTGTGGCCACAGCCCCAGTCTGCCTGCCTGAGGTTGGGCAGGGGTGGGGGTGGGGGTGGCACCTCAGCACCTCCCACTTTGTTAAGGAACAGTGGGGGGACTTCGAGACAGGGGTCAGGAAGGGGCTCAGCACCAGTGTCCTCACGGGGATCCCCTGCTCAGGGAGGGAGCCCTTGTAATTGTCAGCCCTGGAGATGCCCCTTCTGGACTCAGCCCTGGACTGGAGGGTAGCTGGGAACAGGGGCCTCCCAGTTTACCCACAGCCCCCCGTCCCCCCCCCCCCCCCCCCCGATAAGCACCCTGATCCAGGACACGCTAAGTAGCTGTGCCTCCCAGGCATGGGGGTAGTTTGGGGTGAGGCCCAGGTGCAGGGAGTGGACTTGGCACCAGCTGGGGAGAATGGTCGAGCTACACCCCACTTGCGAGTCCAAATAGACTCCCTCCCTGCCCTCATAAGAGGCAAGGCTGGGAGACCCCAGGGACCCCCGGATTTAACCAAGCCCTCTCAATGGATCCCCACCTGGTACCTGATCCAACCAAATCCCTCTGAAGTTTTCTACTGCCAAGCACTTGCTCCCCAGCTCCTCACGGCTGCCCCCCACATCCTCCTGCCCCCTGCTAAATAAAGTTGCAGTCTTGATGCTGCCTGAGGCCTTAGAACCAAAGGTGTTCCTGAGAAGAATACCATTTAATACATCATCATACAAACTTAGCGTTCCTTTAAAAAAATCAGGACCATAATATAAAGTAGTAAAAAAACGGGCCTGAGGCTGGGTGCCCTCTGGGGCCCGGTCCTGGGATGCCCCACCTACCTGGGGCAGGACTGAGGCCAAGGTGGGGGCAGCCCCCAGAGGCAGAACACTGGTGGGAGGGGTGGACTGGGGTCGGGGCACAGCCCTGGCCCTTGGCCAGCTGCCTTCTTGCTGATTCTCTCCCCTGCCCTCGCACAAGCTGCCCCACCCTCACCATGTCCAGCCGCCTTCCGGGCAAACTCACCAGGCCGCCGATGAAGGCAGGGCCTGGGCCCACAGGGGAGGGCAGGAGACACTGGAGGGGGCTGTGGTGGAAGCCCACACACCCACGTAACCATGGGGCAGAAGGCGGCAGCAGCTTGAGGACCCCAGGAAGAAAGAACCCCGCCTCCAGGAGAGGGACCTGACAGTTAGGGGACAGAGAGGTCAGTGCCTGCACCCTGAGCTGTGAGGAAGGTGCTGGGGGTGTCCTGGCCTGGGCCAGGGCCACAAGGCCTGGGGAAGGAATGGGCCTTCGTGATGGCTCCAGGGTGGCTGGCCTGGTGTGGGTGCCTAGGCCCAGTGGGGTCTCTGGAGGGCGGGCTGGGGTGCTCTGCACAGGCCCAGCCCGGGCATGGTGACATCAGAGCTCCGTGGGCAGCAGGCCATGGTCAGTGCAGCACCTGGTCCAGCTCATACTTCTCGCAGAAGCGGCTGGTGAAGGGGAAGCAGGTCAGGTACTCGATCCAGGGCCAGTTGATGGGGTAGACGTACAGCCAGATGACCAGTGAGGCGAAGAGGCCGGAAAAGGCCAGCAGGGACACCAGGATGAGGGCGCGTTTGCGGTACTTGTCGCTGGTGCCGAAGGTGATGTAGGGCAGGAAGGCGAAGGACAGCAGCAGGCCGCTGAGGAAGCCGAAGATGTGGGCGATGTTGTCGATCCAGGGCAGGAGGCCGCAGACGAACAGGAAGAGCACGATGGCCGACAGGTTCAGGAAGGCCTTCCAGGGCCGCTCCAGCAGCTGCCAGCTCTGGAACAGTTCCACGAAGAGGCAGGCCAGGAGGCCAAACTGCGAGCCAGCTGGGCCCACCTGGGGAGGGGGAGACATGTCCCTTCCAGGGCCAGAGAGGAAGCCCGGCAGGGGCCCTGGCACAGCTGGGCAGGAGCCCTAGGATGGGGGACGGGGTCGTCCTCCCCGGGGTGGGGACCCTGAAGCTGGACACCAGGGTCAGTGGAGCGGCTGGACCTCTCAGCTGGGCTTGTTCCCCCCACCTTTCTGGAAAGCCTGAGCACCTACTAGGTGCCCGGAGCAACAGTCAGGACAGGCCAGCCTGCTCCAGGCAGCCAACGGCACGGAGGGGACAGGCCCTGGCCTGGCAGCAACGTTTGCTGAAGCACCGTTTCCACAGGTCAAGAAGGGCCGCCTGGCAACTCTTCATGGCTCGGCCCACGAGGGGTTGGGAGGCAGTGGTGACCATGAGGAGCGGAGAAGAACAGGGAGAGGACAGAGGCCCAGAAGCTTCTCTCTGGAGCTGACGTCTCAGGAGCATGGCTGCTCCTCGCGCCCGGGATTAAGGGATCGGCTGCTGAGCCCCAGCTTAGCTTCCATCTGCCGTGGAGCAGGCACGGGAGGGGCCCCCCACCTACCTCTGCCCGGTATGGGAGGAAGATGGCACTGGCGAGGTTGCCAGTGATGCCGCTGAGGATGAAGATGATGGCAATGCGGTGCCAGCCGGCCAGCTTCTCCAGGTCCCGCAGGATGGTCATTTGGAAGATCACAGACACGAGGCAGTGCACCAGGCTGGGGCAGACACACTGGGCATCAGCCGGCCTGCCCACATCTCCTGCAGCCACCGGCCTGGCAGCCAGGAGCATGGGGTCTGGCGGGTTGTGCCAGCGGAGTCCTGGCCCAGGAGCCCCTCCTCAGTGATCCAGGGGCCTGGGGGCCTTTGGAGGGGGGCAGCAAGGAGCCCCTTACCCAGCATGGAGGAACAGAGACAGCCAGAGGCGGTAGATCTGGTTGGGGACCTCGGGGTTGAGGAAGGGCAGCAGCCCGCACACCTTGTCCAAGCAGTGCACCTGTGGGGGGCACACAGCCGTCAGCGCCCTGCCACAGCCCCGAGCTGGGGGCCGAGCTGGACGCCTGCTGCAGGGGGACGCGCACCCGGGCCCCGGGGATGGCCTCACCTGGGAGCAGAGCGTGGCCTCCTCGTGGAAGTAGCCGTGCATGAACTCGCAGTACTCCCGCGTGGTGATCTCACAGCTGGGGGGGGCAAGGGGCGCGTCAGAGCCCCAGGACCCACCCCCTCCCTGGAGCCCAGGCTGTGGCCCCCACAGGCAGGGCTGGCAGGAAGGGAGCGGCTTCTGTGGAGACCCAGGCTCCGGGGTGAGCTCCCCTTCGCCCTGCTCACACCCCAGGTGGCCCCGAAGCCGGGGCCAGCGCCCGGTGGTGGCGCGGGGCGGGCGGCTCACCTGCCCTTGGTGCCGATGCAGCAGGGGCGGCCCCGGATCTGGCAGTCCATGTGCTGCAAGCCGGTGCTGTTGCTCCTGGCCTGCTCAGTGCAGATCTGCGGGCGGGCGCCGACCGGGCGGGTGAGCCGGGGCACAGGCAGGTCCCCGCCGGCCCTGCACACACCGCTCTCCCTCAGTTGTCCCCCCTCTTACTGGCCACTTGGTGATGTCATCAGGCCAGATGTGGGCACCACTGGAGGCTGGCTCCTCACAGGTTCTGGAGGCATAAGTCAGAGGGGGCCAAGTGAGGGGCTGCAGCCCACAGCCCCACGGGGGGTGCAGCCGTGATCCTCAACTCTAGCTCAGATAGCCTGGGCCAGGGCCTGGCAGGTACCTGGGGTCCTGGTGGCACACGGCCCCAGAAGTCCGCTTCGGGCCCTGATCGGACTTGTCCATGCTGGGCCCCGTGTCGTCCTGCCACTTGACAAAAGTGGCCAAAGTCTCCTGGAGGATGGAGGGTTGGTCATGGCTAGGACAAGGCCACCCTGTCGGAGTGGGCAGGACGGACGGGAGAGCCATTTCCCAGCCCCCCACCCGGCTGACGGTCCAGAGGCCGAGCTTTTACTTCCCTGGGGCTGGGGGGCTGGGGATCTGGTCAGGCACTGGAGGCCCTGGCCATGCTAGGCCACGTGGGGAGGCCAGGGTGGGACAGGGAGGACCGAGGAAGGGGGTGGGGACACGCTCGCTGTCTTGAAGGGCTGCTTCCCAAGGATGGGGCAAACAGGGACGGTGCCAGGTGCCCAACAGGCTGGGGCCGGTGCCCACCGAGCAGTCCTTGCGCTGGGTCTGGATGCAGCCCGAGTGGTCATTCTGCACGCAGCAGCCCGAGTCCCGCTCCAGGGCTCGCTCCCGGTGCACCAGCTGCTCGATCTGCTGGTCCTTGCGGATGCAGGGTGAGAACTTGGCTCCCAGGTGGATCAGGTCGATCTGGCGGGGGGCAGGTGTGGGGTGAGCTCGGTCCCGACCTGGCTGCTCTGTGCAGTCTCCCCTGAGGATCCCCTGAATAGCCAGGCTACTGAGCAAGCTGAGCCCTGCTCCCTGCTGAGATGCCAGCCTCCCTGGACCCCTTACCGAGCTGGGGCCGATCCAGAAGTTCTCCTGCTGGATGTACTTCACGCTCTCGTACACACCTTTGTTCCTGAGTACCTGGTGCAGTGGTGGGAGGACAGGGATCAGGGCGCCAGCGGGCAGGGCTCCCCATCCCAGGACGGGAAAGCTGTGGTGAGCCCAAGCCCCTCCTGCGTGGGGGTGTTGCCGTGGGACGGAATCGGTGGCCCGAGCAGCCAAAGCCTGTCAGGGGAGGCTGGGCCCCCCGGGGAGCACTCTCCTCTGGGACTCACCAGCTGGGTGGTGACATGCTGGGCAAAACCCACGGGGGCGATGCCGTACGTGCAAATGACCAGCAGCGTGATGATGATGTGGACGAAGGTGAGCCAGTAGGTGAAGTAGGGCCTGCAGACAGAGCCCGCTGAGGCCTGGACGCCCGGCGCTCCCCTGTGTCCCCTCCGACTCATCTTCCACTACAGCGGGCACCTGTCTGAACCCCTTCCCTTGTTCCCACTGACCTCAGGACCAAGCCCACGGGGCTCCCTCCCTGCCTCTTCCCTCTGTTTCTTGCAGCTCCTGGAGCCCAGGAGCCTTTGAACACGCTGCCCATGCCGCCTCCTTTGCCCGGGATGCTCGCCCCATCTCTCCTCTCCCCCAGCAAATGCCTGCCCTGCTGACCCTGGCCCTCGCCACCAGCAGCCCAGCCCCTGCGCTCACCCTGGGGTCACTGCTAGCAGGCGCTGCGAGAACCGCCCCTCCCCCCAGGCTCTCGTGCAGCCCCAGCTCAGTCCCCGGCCCCAACTGTTCCTCTGACATATGCCCCCCCACCCTGTGGGGGCTTGTCCAGGCCCCCGTGCTGGCCCTCAACACTTGTCTGAAGCGGGAGGCAGGACAGCAGGGGTGCAGGGGCTCGGGACGGGGGCAGGCGGGGCGCGCCGCTCACCGGTGGCTGTCGAAGCTCTCGAGCTGCCTCTGCACGGTGCTGCTGATGCTGCGCCGGTAGCTGCGGTTCAGCCAGTTGCCCACCACGCCCAGGCCGTAGTGCCGCCTCTTCCGGTCGAAGGCAAAGTGCTTCACCCGGGAGGCGATGCGCTTGCCGCGCCTGGCCGCGGGCACCGGGGCGCGGCCGTAGTCCTTCCTGGCGGGACAGGGGTCTCAGCCTGCTGCCCCTCCCACCCACCCACCCCAGAGCGGGCACTGAGGAAAGAGCTGAGGTCTGGGAGCCCCTGACCCCTGAACCACCTCCCTCCACCTAGAGGATGGACTCCCCGGAACTCACAGAGGGATCTGCACCCCATCGGGGGTCACTGGGGAGGCGGAGCGCGGGATCCCCCGGAAGTAGGTGGCAGAGAGTGGGGGAGACTCAAACACATCATCCGGCATGGAGCTCATTTCTTCCTGGGGGTGGGGGGGCCACAAAAAGAGACAGTGTGAGGCCCCACTTAGCCAACACCCCAACAGCTCAGTCTGGGGTCGGGTGGGCAGGCTTCTTGCAGGGAAGTGGAGGCCCCGGCCGCCGGCCCCGATCCCCCATGTCTGGGTCCTTGCTTGGCTAGGCAGAAAGATGGGGGTCGAGAGCTCCAGAAGGGGCGCACCCCATCCCACCCGCAGGCCCGTGGGCTTCCCGGGGGCTCCCTGCAGAGCACAAGCTGGCTGGTCAGCTCTCCTGGCTCCCAGGCCGCCCAGCCCTGCCCGAGGGCCCACACTCCATGCTTGCCTTACTAAAAAACGAGGAGTCAAATGTGTCAGCCCCGTCGACTGCGTCCTCCTCCAGGAAGCTGGGGTAGGCGAAGCTGCGCTTGACCACCCGGCACCGCTGTCCCGCGGCGTCCAGCACCGAGCGCCCCTGCACGGCAGAGGCCCGGCCATCAGGCCTCACCGCCTGCACCAAAGGCAGCACCAGACCCGCCCTCCTGGGGCAGGCAGCATGCCGAGGGCAGGGGCCCCGTGGGGACAAGGGGCTGGGTGAGGCCAGGAAGCACAGCGCCAGGCTCTCCTGGCCTAAAGGCCGCTCCCCGGTGGGCTCCCAGGGACCTCCTGCCCTCCAGTTTGGGCGGCCCCCCACACTCTGCATCCTCACTCCTGAGGCTTGGGCTGTCTCCTCCACCATCCTGGCTTCTTGGCAAGGCCCGCCAGGCCCCTGCCCACCTTTCTGACCCCATCTCCTGCTGTTCCTCTTGTAACCCAACGCACTAAACCCTTATCAAACCACTTGCTGCTCCCCCAAAGGGCCATATCCCCTCCTTCCAGGCCCTTGCATAGGCTGTTCCCTTTGCTGAGGATGCCGTTCCCCTCCTTCCTTTCCTGGGGAATTTTCCTTACTTTTCTGCACTCCCTCCTGGATCAGCTGGGGCAGCCCCTTCTCCGGGTGGGCCCAGCATGACCACCCTCATGGTGACACTGCCCTCACCTGGGCTGGGAGCTCCTTTGGGGCAGCCCCGGTGCCCACCCGGAGGCTCTGGCAGCCTGAGCAAATGAGTGGTGACTATATCTCCACCTCCCGGCTCAGGTGCCAGCCCCAGGCCGGCTTCCCAGACCAGAGGCAGTCTGGCTTTCCAGACCAGAGGTGGGCCTGGCCACAGGACCCTCTGTGCCCAGGGTCCCAGGGCATCCACCGCCTTTGGCACAGAGGCAGGTGCCTGCGGGAGCTCCTGGCAGGTGCCCTGGTTACAGGTGCCGTCTTCTTACCTTGAAGAGGGCGGCAGCAGCTTGAAAACTCATGTGAGCCACCGACATCCTCTTGCGGCGGGGCAGGTGGGAGTAGCCGGAGCGCACACTGGTGAAGGAGGTGAGGGACAGGACCCCTGGGGTGAGCGGCGGGTGCGGGGCATGGGGCCGATCCACCTCGTCCGGGTGGCGGAATGCCCGGCCTCGGGCCAGTGGGTCCACGATCTGGAAGGGGTAGGCGGTGAGCAGAGCCGACAGGGCCTGGTGAAGGCGCCGCCCCCAACCTGGTGGAGCCCACCTTGGGCAGCTTGCAGGGTTTTGGAGACTCGGTGCCCTGGAAGGATGGCACCTCCTGGCTGGGGAGCTCCAGGTCCCTCTGGTACGAGGCCTTGAGCCGGCCATAGCGCACGCTGCAGTGGTGCAGGCTCCTGCGCTGCCAGTGCTGCCGCTTCGCCTCCCAGTCGCCGCTGATCCCGAACCACTGCGCTGTGCCCCTGCGGGTAGAGAGGGCGGGCGCGGGGGTCAGACAGGGCGGGCGTAGGGCACAGACAGGGGACATGGGTGTGTGCAGGGAAGGGGGCAGGAGGTGACATGAGGCAGGACCTGTGTGTGTGCAGGAGAAGCGGGGGGCGGGGGGCAGAGAAGCCCCAGACTGGGAACCCAACAGCCAGATGAGCCGAGGTGACTCTGGACAGAACAAGGGGAGTGAGCTGGGCAGCCTCTGGAAGCCAATCTGAGGGGTGTGGGGTGCCCCTGGCTCCCTGAACCCCTCCCCTCTATCCTGTGACTCCACCAGGCACAGCCCCAGTAGGCTTGCCGCCCCCGGGCGTGGTGCTAGGTTCTCACCCTGCTGGGAGAGGCTGCTTGCTGATGCCTGCCCATGCCTTCTGGCAAGGGACACAGTGACCAGGCCCAGAATGTCCAGGTGCCCAGAAGCCACAGGGGCAAGGGGGTGGAGGGGCTCACTTGCGGATGCTCTGGGACAGGGAGGCCTGGCGGCGGATGCCAGGGTGCTTCTCCGAGCCGCCCTCCTGCCATCGTGCCCGCGGCTCCTGCAGGCTGATGCTCTTCATGTAGGCTGGGTTCCTGGGCCTCTGGGGGAGGCGGGGAGCGGTCAGGCTGAGGCCTCCCAGGGCCAGATCTTGCCCGGCTCCTAGTGTGAAAGCCCCGAGAGGGCACACCCCGCTCCCCCTCCCCGAGTCTCCCCTCAAGCTGCTCTCATCCTGCATGTAAAGTAGCCGTTTCCTCTGCTTTGAGCACGCATGGCCTGTTTGCCCCTCGGGGCGCCCTGGTCACCAGGGCCCTGCACGGCCACCGTGTGCCAGAGGGAGCCAGGTGCGTGGGCGGCACTAGCACGGTGCCCTGTGGGCCGGCCCGGCCGTTCTCAATGAGCTCTTTATGGAACCACGGTCCGGCCGGCTGGAAACACTGATTCACGCCGGCTCTGAGGAGGCGGCAGGCGCTGGGGTCAGGCTGCGACGCCGAGACACCCGGCACTACGGAGGCGCACCCCGCACCGGGGTGGGCTGGGGTGGCAAGGGCGGCCACATCCCAGCTGGGACCTCAACCCTTTCTCCAGGCCGGCGCCCCCGTCCCCCCAAGATGAAACTCCCATTCAGGGTGCAGGTGTCACGCGCGCACGCCTGTCACTGTGGCGGGGCAGGAGCCCGGGCCGGCCCGCTCACCTGGGGCAGCATGCTGGCCAGCTCGCCGGGCGCTGCGGTCTCGGGCGGTGGGATGGTGATGGACAGGTTGGGAGGCTTCCGGCTCTGCAGGCGGCTGCTGGGCACGGACCCACCGTCCCCTTTCTTGTCGGTGGAGGCCATGGTGGGCAGGGCCAGGCGGCTGGAATGGAGACGGGGAGCAGAGGGGTGCTGAGAGGGCACAGGCCGAGGGGACGGGGGACGCTGGTGCCACAGGGGGCAGGCCTGTGACTTGCCTGAAGTGGGTTCAGACTGAACTGTGGGGCCTAAACCACGTGGCAGAGATTGGCTCAGGCCGCAGGGGTAGCTCTGTGCTCCAGGGCAGCTTCCTTTGTCCCTGGGCGGAGTGCGGGGGAGGACTAGAGGGCCCCAGAGCAACCTGGTGACCAGGCCATAAACAAGGGGCCCTCGGGCCTCTGCCACACCTCCTGAGGCCAGCTGTGCAGGAAGCAGGTGGCTGAGAGGAAGAGGGGGTGAGGGTGGGGTGGGTGCCAGTTCCTTTTTCAAAGCTAATAGGCACTGTCACCTGTCCAGCACTGCTTTCCTTCCAGAAGGAAAATACTGTGTCTCAATGACGAAAGTGAGACAGGTTCGCCACAAAATCCCTTTACATAGAGACCGAGAAGACCATCAGCGAGAAGTGACCGCATGGCCTGCCCGTCACCTCCTAGAGCAAAAAGCTGGGTATACAAGTCCTTCCAGAAGCCTCCGCACCGGAAGGCCATGCTGTACCACGTCTTCCCTGACGCGAGTATTTCCTTCATTCCAGCGGATTGTTATTTAGGGTGTTTCTGGCATTTCAGGCCGATGCTGCAACAGACGCCCTGCCCACGTGAGGGCCTGTCCGCGGCCATCGCGGGTCCAGGAGGCACATCCTGAATGTCAGTGGGTTGTGCCAAATGGCCTGCGGAGGGGAGGGGCCATTCACACCCCAGCCCATCTAGGGCTTCTCCTAGCTCCTGCCTCCCTCTTACTCCCTCTCTGCTCTCGCCAGAACCAACACCCTCTGCCTAGTCTGTCCCCCTCACTTCCTGGCTGGCTCTGCCCTGACACTGTTTTCTTGCTAAAACTCCTGTTGTCTCTCATCACTTTCCAAGGCTCCTGGGGCAGGTTTGGGTTTTCCTCCCCTCATACAAAGCCAGGGACCCCATGTGCCAATGTGGGGGTGCACAAACTGAGGGGAGTGGCACAGGGAGCTTCCCCAGGGCACGCAGAGCCACGGCTGGGCCAGCAGGACCAGGCAGCAGCCTGTGTTGACCCACACGCTGGCAGGAGACCAGGGTTGCCTGAGGGTTGGTCTGTGATGGGGGCTCGGGCTGCGCGTCCTCATGGAAACCTGGTCTGGTGCGTTTGCCGCCGCAAGCTCATCAGCGTGAAGGGAGGAAACACACCAGCAGCCCCCGGACAAACTGTAACCCAAACAAGCTCCATCCTGCGCGTGCTGGCCCCTCGGGACGTCAGAACTGTGCTTTGAAAGCTTGTTTTAGACAAAGCTGAGTGAAACTTGAACCTAACTTCCTCTGACTAGATTGAGAAGCTGGACGTCGGGGCCCTCAGCCATGTGCACGCGTGTGGACATGTCAGCTCGCCCTGAGCCGCAGCCCACAGCACCAGGCACTGAGTCCAGTCGGGGCTGGACTTTCTCAGCCAGGAGACGGTGCACACCGACTGGGCACTCGGTCTGGGCGAGGTGGCTGTTGATCTTAACGTAAACAGCTTCCCCCAGACCTGGCGACGCTCGTGAGGCCAAGGCCAGTGGACGGCCTGTCTGCACTGGCCCAGCCGTTTCCCGCCCTGTGGATGTACCTGGCAGACACAGGCTCAGGTCGTGAGCTGGTCCCCAGAAGGAACCAGCCTGTGCAGTGGCCCACCTGCCTGCACGGGTGCTGCCATTCCTGGCTCAACACATGGCACAGCAGGGGCTCCCCAGCACTGGGGTCCCAGCTTAGGCACCACCTCCTCTGAGGAGCCCTCCCTGACTGCCTAAAGAATGCCCCCCAACCCCTGCCCTCTCTCAGTCTAGTCTTGCCGCATCTCCTGCCCCCTCCACGCCAGCAGAGTGCGGGCCTACAGGGGCATCGGCTTCCTACCTTCAGAGCAGGCTCAGTTAGCAGCCTCCTGGGTCTTCAGAGCATGTTCTGGCCCTTTCTTCACTCTAGATGCTTGGGGGCAAGTCCAAGCTGTATGGAAAGCTGGACAGACAGCTGGAAAGCTGGACACACGCTCCAGGTCAGCAGGGCTGCTCCTCAGTGCTCACAGCCTGCAGGGAAGGGAGACATCAGGGGAACATCAGGACCACCGTGTCTTACCTTCTGGGCCTCATGGGGATAATTCCCAGGCCTTGTGGGTGAGGATTATGGGAGATATGTCCTCCCCCGTTCCTCCCCTGGAGTAAGGGCCCTGGAGATGAGCCTTCTGGCAGGGGGGGCAGCCAGGGGCTCCAACCCCAGGACATTCGCCCAAACCTTAGCCACATCCCCTGCCCGGTACTGGGGACCCAAACTCAAGACGCTCCCGTTTTTGTTTTGGGAATTTCAACGTTACTTTACTAGAAACATTTAACTTGATTTATTTATGAATACAAGAGCTGGGGTGCAGGCCAGAAGTGCGGGGAGGGGGCAGGGGTGAGAGGATTCACCAGAGACAGAGTGGGGAGCAGCGGGGAGACAGGAGAGGTCTGCTGTGCCATGTGGGTAGCTCCCTGGCCGGAGATTGAACTCGTGCTGCAGTGGCTGATGACAGCTTGAAAGTGCTGAGACTTAAGCTCTTGCGCCACCAGGAAGGCCCGAAACATTTAACCTTAAAACCCAGGAACGGTTGGCTGCCTCTGGCCACCTCAGGCAGGTAAGCCAGGTAGGTTCATGATGGAAGAGCTTCAATGCCATCTTGCTGTTTTTAATGACTCATTAAAGTGCAATCCATGCAGCATAAAATCAAGCATTTTAAAGTGAACCACTGTTCTTGAGCAGGGGGGAGGCTCGGGCTTCATGTACCCGAGACCACTTTGGCCTGGACGCACCTTCAAGGTGGCCCTCACCACGGCCTCCAGTTTGTAGTGGGAGTGGGGAGGCTCGGAGAGGTTAAGTGATGTGCTCAGGCTCACACCGCCAGGAAAGGGAGCACTGGCTCTAGGGCCTGAGGTTTCCTTGGGAAACAAGGACACCCCCTTTCTAAAGCTGGGGCACACCCAGGGCTGGGCGGCCCGTATCAGGGAAACAGAGTGGAGAGTTCAGCCTGCAGAGAACTTGGTAAAGCATCACACGGTTTGCAGAATGTGTTCCTCAGGGACCTGGGGTCACGGGGTCGAAGGAGGGGTCACCTGGAGGCTGAGGAGCAGATCTGGGCCCCCTCTGATTCCATGGGGCAAGCGCTCCTTTTACTTTACATACTGAGGGCGGGCGCCCTTTGCCAAAGTCCTCTGCTTACAGATAGGACCTTGGGTACGGAGTAGGGGGTGCCAGAGAGCCATCGCCAGGCAGAACTGAGCACCCAGGACTCCCTGCTTCTCTAAGGCTTGGTCCACAGACACGGGCATCCCACCTTCGTGCCCAAAGCACTGGCAGTCCTGATTCACTCTCCCGGACAGACTGCTGTGGACGAGGCCCGCAGAGGCCCAGGACAGAGGCCCGTCGGCTCCGGGCCAGCTGACTCCTTGGGGCCTGCGGGCCGCACAGGATGCCACTCTGAGCCCGCTCTGGGGACAGCGCCAAGACAACAGCCTCACCTGGGGCCCTGCATGGAAAGTTGCTCCTCCTCTGGGACCAGGGTGCAGTGAGAGGGCATCGGGTGGGCATTGCCCTGGGAAACTGGCACCAAGGAGGGAAGGAGGCAGCGGAGCTGGGTCAGAGGTGAGTGGGGGGCCTCCAGGCCCGAGCTCAGGTAAGGTCATCCTGCAGGGGATCACACCTCCCCAGAGTGGGCACTTGGTGCCTTCAAAACCCATCCCCACATCCCACCGGACAAGCCACATGGTCCAGGCCCCCCCCAACTCCTTCAGCTCCCACCTCTTCTCCTCGGAGGCCCTGTACCTGGCACGCCAGGCTCTACTTCACCTGCCTGCCAACACTGATGCACTGCCTTAAAGAGGGTAAAATGTCACTTCCTCTAGGAAGCCTGCCTGCTACGGGCAACAGAATCCAGCACCTTCTCACCTGCACTCACAGCATCCTGCTGGGATCGGCCCACACGCAGGCGTCTCCCAACTGCCCCTGCGCAGCACAAGGGCCGGCACACAGCTGGCGCCCTCACGGCTGAGCACGTGCTGCCGATGGTCACTTTACACTGACCCTATGCAGACACCATCTCCCACAGTTCTGCGGCCACTGCGGGGATAGAGGATGCTGTCCCGGGATGAGGCCCCAGTGGACCTCCTGGCCCTCTTCTCCAGCACAGGTGGCTCCCCACCCTGCTCCTTGGCCCACCACAGGTATTCCTTTCAGTTCTGGGAGCTGTCCAGCTCTCTTTTCCCAAGGCCATCCCTCCCCTGGCTGGACCCCCGGCCCAGGACCTGCTACACGACCAATATCAAAGGGCAGGCACAACCCAAGGCCAAAGTGGGGGGGACTCGACCAGTGCGAGGGTCATCCTGCAGGTCCCAAAGAGAAGCAGCTCCTCCCAGAGGGTAGGGCAGGGCTGGGGGTGCATCTCCCAGGGAGGTGCAGGGCTGAAATGTCTCCCCGGGATACCATCTTCAGGGTTTAGGGCAGCGGCATCAAGCCTGTGAACAGCTTCTTTCACACACACACCACACACCAGCCTCAGTTTCCTTCTCTGTCAGCCAGGGACTTGGACAAGGTGAGTGTCAAGTTTCGCCGCCCACAAATTTGGTATAAACACACCTCTTTCCCCGGACTGTCTCCACACGCTCCCAAGGCTGCATCCCTCGCTGGGGCAGAAAAGGCAGGCGAGGGCACCAGAACCCCAGTCCCTTTCTTGGGGCTGGGGGAGGGTTGGTGTTGGCAGGTGCCAAGACGTTGCGCCTGCTCTGTGCATCTACGTAACCCAAACCAGGGTGTGGAAGAGCCAAGATGGCAGAGACCAGGCAGAGAAAGTGCTGGAGCCCCGCCCGACACTTATCTCCCGCGCCCCAGAAGTGCTTGCTCACTGCAGGGGAAATTGTGACATCCTAGGACCGGCCTCCTCCGGGCCCACACGCACATCCGCTGCTCTAAGGACACCCCCCCAGGGGCACAGTGCCCAGCCCCTGGGAAGGCAGGGGTGGTCGGGGGGGCTGCCCCACACAGCAGGACCCAAGCTGGATCCTGGCCTTGGAGGGGCTGTCCCCAGGGAAGGACCCCGGGGCCCAAGCCCAGAGTGGTGAGGAGACGGACCCCCAAGGGCCTGGAGAAAGGGCGTGGCCTGAGGGTGGGGTATGCATGGAGTGGGCAGGTCCAAACCCAAAGCAAGTACAGAGCTAAGTGATCCCCAGGTACCAGGGGTTGAGACTTCAGTACCCCCACCCAGTTTCTGTATCCTTGCCACCCCAACACCCGGTAGCGGGAGCCAGTGAGCATGGCCAGGATCATGCACATGTGACAGAATTACAGGCTCAGAAACCACCCACCCGTTGCCACCTGAGAATCCGGTTTCCCCACAAAGGGTGGGGCTGGGCACTGCCAGCTAAACCTTGTCCCAACAGACACAGCCAGGATCAGCAAGGCCTCCCCCAGGGAGGTCCTCCAACTGAGTGTGTCTAGGCAGGGTGTGGGTGGGGGGGTGTTCCAGGTGAGTTCCACCTGCCAGCAGTGTCGTTCCAGTCCCCTCCCCCTCTGGCCCGCTGCCCCCACCCGCACAAGCCACGGGCAGGTGTCTGCAGCCCCTGTGGGCTCCCTCAGCCGGCACAGAGGGGCAGCGGCTGCAGCCCAGGACACAAGGGGCCCGACACAGGGCACAGCCTGCATGAGGCCAGAGGGAGGATGGACCCTTCTGGACGGGGGAAGGAGCCCCCCCAGAGGAAAGAGGGAGAGACTATTACTGGCCACGGGTGAGCGGTTTAGGGGCTGCCCCTGGGGGAGGAGGAAGTACAGAGGCCATCCCCTGGCACAGGCGGCGCGGTCCCGAGGCCAGGGCGGCTGGGAACCTGTCTGGCCCCACGGCTGATTCACAGGATGACGGGGGCCGGGGGCGAGGAAGCGGCTCCTCTCCCCGCTTCCCTGCCACAGAAACTGAAACTCCATCTCCTGCCCGCAGCCCTTCTGAGAAGCAGGTCATTTTTAGAAAGCTGCAAAGAGGAAGCTGGCCTTCACCCGTGGTGCAATCCCGAGCCAAAACCCTAGTTTCGCTGACCTCAGGAGCTGCCCGGCCCCCCACGAGGCCCGGAAGGAGCAGCTCCGTGGAGGCGGGGGTCTCCCCGCTCCCTGCGCGCCCCCAGCTGCTGGCACCCCCGCCGGCTGGATCCCCTGCACACAGCAGCCCCGGCAGCGGAGCAGGACGTGCCCCCCGGGCTGCCGAGGGCAGACGGGATCTGGGAAGACGACAGATGGCGAGACAAGAGGGGACGGAAGCAAGCTGCGGGGCCGGGGGGGGGGGGGGGGGGGCAGAGCTGCAGCGGCCGTGGGAATCCTGCTTCTCTCCAGAAGCCAAACAGGAGCTCCTGCCGCTGGTGCCCGCCCGCCCTCCCAGCCGGCGCCCACGTCCCCTGGGCGCATGTCACAGCACCCCACCCAGCACCCCAGGGCAGAGGAAAACTGAAACCACCTGCGGGTTTGCACCTCCCCCAGGGAGAGGGCCCCTGCCCGGGTCCCAGCCCAGACTCCCTATTTCTCCCCACAAGCTCTACTCAACCTCAGTTCAGAAGACAAAGAACTGGAAGGGCAGGTTTAGGGGCGTGGGGAACAGCTGGCCTTTGCCCACAGACCCCAAGTTCTGGACGCCCCCGGCCCAGTCAGAGGGCATGGGTCGCCAGGCTGACCACAGACACGGGAAGTGGGCGCTGGTGCCATGTGAATCCCTGGGCTCTTTGGAGGCCTGGGGTCCAGGAAGCCGGCAGAGGTGGGGGTGAAAGAGCCCACATCCCCACCTCCTAAGACGTAGCAGCTGCCGGCAACACGGGGCACAGGCAGCGGTGGAGGCGGGAGAGCCGCCCCGCCCCCCCCCCCCCCAGGGCCACTGGGACTCTCTGGGCCCCAGAAGGTGCTGGTGGAGGCCGACAAAGGGATGTGGGTGCCCCAACAGAGGCCTGGGACAGGGCCCTTCCATTCCTGGGAAGGCAGCAGTGCCCACCGGCGGGGGCTGGCCACTGCTTGGGGCAGCGGGGAGAGG